GGGGGGGGGGGGGTCCTGTGTAGCCACCCTATTCGGGTTACACATAAGATGGGAGCCCCCAGAGGGCAGGGGTTTTATCTGCCAGTGCCCTGCATAGGACTCACCACACAGTAGGTGCTCAGTAAATATGGTTAAATGTGTGAAAGAATAAGTAGATAAATAAATGGAGAAAGTAAGGTCCAAGAGGGGGAAAAACCTGGCCAAGCCATCAGTCTAGAAGGTTGCTCTGACTGGGTTTACCCACAGCCGGGTACCCTAGGGAGTGAGGTGCCTGGGACAGGAGCAATAGAGTAGCCTCCTCATGGGGACCAGATGCTGGTCTCACAGGCAGCAGTGCTGGGCTGAGTCAGCCCCAGGGACAGGGAAGGGCCATGAGCAGTAGCAGCCTCCCTGACATCTGACCACCCAGTTCTGAATCTAAGACTTGGGTGTCCAAATCTGGAGCACTCTGCAGCCTCCAGGGTGGGCCTTGTCCCTAGTCTGGCTGGGAGTGAAGGCCTGGTGGCCCCACCTGTAGCTGTGGCCCAGGCCCTGTTGGGTCAACATGGCTGTGTATACACACAACACCCACCCCCTACACCCAGGGCACCCTGAGTGGGGAGGGACCAGAGTGCCCAGAGGCCTGGCCTGGTTCCAACTGACCACTAACTCGCTGTGCGACCAGGTAGGTCACTGGTGTCTCTGAGACCCAGGCTTTTATCCAAAACGTGAAGAGTTTGGCTGGAGAGTTCCCAAGGCCTGCCCCTTCTTCTAACAGTCTGGTCAAACCAAAGCCTAACCACTGGACTAAGTGGCCTCTGTTATCTCTGACCTCAAGGCTTCACAAGCCAGCAGTGGGACTAATCTGTTACATTCCTTAACTCAGCATGCATTTCCCCTTTAACTAAGGGAAGGAAGGCATCCAGGTCCCAAGTCACAGGTGTCTTAATACATCTGAAGTGAGGTGGGAGAGCACAGGCTCCGCAGCGGGCAGGCTCTGCCGCTTGCTAGTTGTACAACCCTACCTTCTGCATCTGAAAGGGCACCAGTAGTTCTGACCTCGCAGGGGACAGAAGGGCTGGAGAAGATGTACGCAGGCCCCTGACATGTAGGTACTCCCAATACTTGGCTGAATGAATAAATACATACTAAGTGCAGGCAAAATTCACTTTCTCAGGGTAAAAATTGGCTCTTGGTATCTTGGTGATATAAGCACAGATATACATATAGAACGTAAGTATATAGTATATGTGCAGTATTTAAATTTCATGGGGGAGGATTTTTAAAATACCTAAAGAGCTTCCTTAGAGGGAGTAAAAATGAAAACTAAGGTTGAGAAATGTTGTCTAGTACAAGATTTTGTCTCTGCCACCCACCCCACCCCTGAGCCTTTGCACACGCTCTTCTGTCTGCCTAACCTGCCTCTCACCACCTTAGCCACTTGAGAAGAAGTTGATATTTACTGTGCACCTGCTGTATGCTGGGCATGGGGCTCAGTTCTACATACACATCATCTCATTTAACTCTCCCTGTGTCCCATGAGCTAGGGAGTGGGTGAGAGCAGAGACTCCGGGATACAAGTATATGGCCCTGACATATACTACCTGGGTATCCTTGGGCAAGTTGCTTAACATTGTGGTGCCTCAGTTTCCTCATCTATAAATGGAGTTAATAACTGTACCTACTTCAGAGCACTGCTGTAAGGATTAAAGAAGTAAATACATGAAAAGCACTTAGAACAGTGTCTGGCCCATAGTGAGCACTATATGGGTGTTTGCTGTTATTGTTGCTGTTCTTACTATTCCTGTTTTATTTCAGATGAGCAAACTGAGGCTCAGTGGGGTTGCATGATCTACTTGAAGTCATACTGCTAGTTAGTGATAGAACCAGGAGAGGATCCCAGTCAGTCTGACACCTGTGTTTGTGCTTTTAACCCCTGTGCCACTCTGCCCCATACCATACTGAGCTCAGCTTTCTACCTCTTCCAGGAAGCCTTCCCGGATTTCTCCATGTATGCACAGGACCGTGTCTATGCCTCTCTCACAACTCTAACTACTCTGATTTGTCACCATCTACCTCTATCATGGGGTTTCAAACTCCTCCAGGACTGTGCTGATCAGCCTTCAAGTCCCCAGAGCATAGACAAAGCCTGGTCCAGAGGGGGAACCCCATGAGAGTTTGCTGAGCAAGTGCATGATGATGGATTGGTGCCCCACCGTTCCCCGCTAACCTGCAGCTCTCCTTCTCCGAGGGCTCCACAGTGAGGTAGTACAGGTCTCTGGAGAGGTGATACGGATCTTCCCGGGGTGGCCCCCAGGCACTGGCCTTGATAGACCACAGCAGGCCAAGGAACAGCAGCAAGCCGCCTGCCCCGAAGCAGAAGAAGCTGATGGACCTGAGCAGGGGCTTGGGGGCCTCAGGCGCAGGGTGCCCAGTGGGTGGGGCCAGCTGGCCGGGTTGAGCACCTGTACCCTCTTCACTCCACCACGCGAAGCAGAGTGTCCCCGCCACCAGGAACACCGTGCCGCTGACTGACATGCAGTAGCGGAGGGTGGAGGCCACTCGGCCCCTGTCACAGTTCTGGACATAGAGAAAGAAAGAGGAGAAATGGGCATGTAAGAGGCCTGCCAAATACTGGAGACCCAGGTTTCAGGTCTCTGCCACCTGAGGTCACTGTGCAACCCTGGCGAGGTCACAGAGCAGGTGCTCCAGCAGCCCGCTCCGAGAGCTTAGTGCGGCACCACCCCCTCTGCCAAAAGCTGAGCCAGAGAAGCAGAACTCACAGACCTCAGAGAGACTTTAGTGACCAGAGACGCCTTCCAAATGGGCGCTTGCCCAGCCAAACGTGGTGCATCAGAACATGCCCTGCTGAGTGGCTATTCAAAGGCATGCTCCCAGGGGAGCAGAGGGGCAGGCACAGTGCTCAACATAGAGCCGGTGAAGCTCTGGATTTCAAAAGGGCATGTA